GACATCTACAACACTCTCAGGGACCATGTCACCGCAGACGATACATCTCCCCCCAACTACGTTAAGAAATGGGCTCTCTTCCTGAATATGCCTCTGGAAGAGGTCCAGACAATTCTCACTAGAAGCTGGCACCAGATACGCAAAATCACCACCTGCGAGGCGTGGAGGGAACTACAATTTAAACTGCTAAATAGAGCCTACTGCGCTTTTAACTTTCCCCCTAAAGCCAAGAACTCTGACAGACTATCGACATGCCCTAAATGTTCAACACCACTGCCGGACCTAAATCACCTCTTCTGGTCCTGTCCAACTATCGAAACCTTTTGGAAATACGTATTATCCTACATGCAAACCATCACTGGTATTCCCCGCAAACTAAACCCTCTGACGTGTTTGCTTCAGGCCTCGACAGACGTAAATACTCCCACCAACCCACTTATTCAACGCTGGGAACACCTGTGCTTACTTGGGGCTAAAAAATGCATACTCTTAAACTGGGTATCGAAAGACGCACCCAAACTAGCCGACCTGAAACTTATCCTTTTCAAATTTTTGTCCATGGACTTACTTGATACAAACTCCCAATATTCTGATCACAGACACAATATATCAGAATGGGATGACTTCATTCATAAAGATCTCTCGGTTAACCACAAGACGGAACTACATTCATTTATTCTGGCAACGACTGGCCGTTCATTGCTGTAATCCACGACCTGGCCGACACCGCCCAATAACAACCTTCTTAGACACTTTCCATTCACCATCCTCAGCAACATTTCCCGCACTCAACTCCGAACTGCTCTATTGTTCTCTTTAAGCTAGGATTGCTCTGGTCATGCATTCTCCATTTATACTATTTCATTTAATAGTATAGGTTATATTTTTAAGATGTTTTTATGAGTACTTTCATATAACACTCTCTAAATTTATCTTTTCGATCTAATATTGATGAAATACTTGTTGAAATTTGTACATGTTCCATAGACAAAGTCCAATTTCTGTTCCGATAATTTACTCTAATGTAATCACCTGTTGGACGTAGACAAACTGTACTTCACTTTATATTTCATACATTCTGTTTATCTTTGCATCACCTGTAACTATGCATAAATTCTTCTAATAAACGATATTGCTAAAAAAAAAAAGATTGTATTCCTCTTTTTCTTTCAGGTGATTGATTCCTCTGATGTGATTATACAAGTTCTGGATGCCAGAGATCCTATGGGAACCCGCTCTTCTCATATTGAGGCTTATATCAAGAAGGAGAAACCATGGAAGCATTTGTTGTTTGTCCTCAATAAGTGTGACTTAATTCCTACATGGGCTACGGTAAGTTTTTTTTTCATGTACTTGCCCTGCTGTTTTATCTAAAAAGTAGTAAACAAAGATGGAGGAAGATAGGGTAGGTAGTGTAATAAGGATTTCCGTGCTTGAGAAGTTTTTTTTTTTTTTGCAATAATTGTTTTAGGTACCTTACTTCTGAAAACCTTCACACTGACTTGATCTTCCCACAGTTGTTGCAGTGTGATGTGATGAGCTTAAAGGAGAACTATGTGATGAGTGATTTCTACTCACCTCATAGTTCTAGCCGACCTGTGACAATGAGACTGTCACAGGTCGGCTCAGTAGATGGGGAGGTGAGCAAACACATAACGGCGTTCGCTCACCTCTCGATCCTGTCACGGCTCTCTTCCGTGACAGGGGGAGGGCTGGATTCCCCTCTCCCTGCTCCGATCTGCCAGCGCTGACTGGCGGAACGGGAGGGGGCGGGTACAGCTGGCTCTGCCTCTAGGTAGGCAGAGCCAGCTGTCACTCACGCAGCTGGGCGGATCCCGTCATCTACGTCGGGATCCGCTTCGGCGTCTCAGTATACCGCGAGCTGTAGCTCGCGGTATACTGAGCTTAGGGTAACCGGAGGACGCTAGTTTGTGTCCTCCCGTTACCCTAAGGAGAACTATGGGGAAAAACACTGACCCCATAGTTCTCCTTTTAATTGTCATTTAGTATCTCCGAGAATATTCCATAACTTTAAACATTACATTGCACCATTTCATCCCAATGCTAATGTAACAGTACATAAAAGGGCTTGCCTGGCTAGTATCCCTAAATGTGGAGTTGTGAATTGGAGCTGAGTTCTACTTGGTAGGTGAGTGAAACAACTCGTAAGCATCATCTATATTCTTTGCAATATTTTTTTTTTCCATCATGACCAGTGCTCTTTAGAGTGTCTAAGGCCAACCCTTCTATTTTTTTCCCTAGCTTTGGATAGAGTGGTGGGGGGATTGAACCCCAGTTTTATCTTTTCTCTGCTAGGCAAATCCACTTTCTGTATTTATTTATTTAAAATTCAACATTTTTAGTTTTTGGCTTTATGTCCAGTTTAATATCATGGTGGCCAATGTGCCACTATTTTAGATAGGCGTTATAATGTACTAAAAAGGATTAAGCTTTGGCCAACACAGTCTATGAATACCTAAAACATTCTGTGGTTCCTTGTGAGGTAGTGACCATTGGAAGACAAGCCTCTGGCCTAATTGTTCATGCTATATCAATACACTGTGCACCCTCTTGATGAATTATACAATGCAACTCTGTTACAGAGACTATTGCATTGGCAGTGTGTTTTCTATTTTTCCCTTCCTGTGATTAAAATATATTAGTACTGTTGGTCCGAAAAGATTCTGTTTAATTTTTATTCTTCCAGCTTCGTGGTTTACACAGAGATATTGTCATAAAAACCTGTAATTTCATGGTAGATAAGAATAGCTTTGCCCCCAAACTTCTGTCTGTAAAACCTCAGATTATGTTTTGATGTGCTTTCTTTCATGTGACTGACTGTTTTTCCCAAATCCTTTTTTGGTTGAATATCTTGAACCATCTCTTAAAGATTGCAGTTTTATATATCTATTGCAAGTTTTAAGTAGTACTTCCAAGCCTGTCTTTAAAGTTGACCTTTTCATGCATGTATACTAGAATACATGGCTAAGGCTGGCCATGGCAACCGCAACAGAGGATCTTGGTCTGACATCAGAAAGAAAAAGATAAGCTGGCACTGGAGCTGTTCTGTTTTGCTTTGTTCCCCATACATGCACTAAGTAGTGGCTATGCACAAGGATCTGTTTGTTCCCTCATATTTGGACTGCTTATATATTTAAACAAGAAGCAAAGCACAAAATTCATTTGTAAAAAAAAAAAAAAAAAAAAAAAAAAAAAAGTTTTTAAA